GTGTGATTTCTTGCCTTTGAACCAGACTGGAGGGTCAGCTATGAGTCAGTTCTGCCTTGATGGTTAACAACAACAACAACAACAAGTCTATTATGTCATTTTATAACTCAGAGAAGTGATTTGGTTTAGTATCCACTGGTTTGACCATACCTCATTGATTTACATACATTAGATCTGATTATGGAAAGTGATTCTGTTACATTGCCATGTGTTAGATTATATCCACAGGTATGGAGGTTTTATGCTTTCATAGCACAACTTCATGGTACTTAACACAGTTGATTTTTTTTTTAATTGGATTAGTGCTGACCACAAGACCCACGAAGAGGGATAATGTTTTGCTCAATACCCAGAGGCTCAATCAATAGATGTCAGCTGAAGGAGGGAATGAAGAAATTATGTCTGACTTAAGCAACAGCATTTGAAGCTCCCTTGAGAGCTCCTCCATTGACTCAGGGCAAGCTTCTTGCACTGAGCTGATGCCACCAGAGGGAAGCCAGGCTCACATACTGTTTTGGGTTTCTTAGGCTCACCTGAGTGCTGGTGATGGAGGTAGCTCTCCCAAATAAATCAGAGGGATGGGAGAAGACAAGAAGAAAAACCTTTTAAGTGTGTATTGGTTTCTGCCCTGGTCTCATGGTGTCTTGATATCTGCCAAGCACTTAGAAGTAATTCATTCCAAAGGTTAAACAGGATTGTAGTGAACCAAAGATATCTCACCTCTGCTACTATTCCTTCCTGCACTTCATCAGGAGGTGACTTTGGCCAAGAATAACAAGGAGATTTTTTTAAATAATTTTACTTTTCTCCCTGGACCTCAAGGCAGCTACCAGAGGAGAGCCCCAGGCTAGGATATTATAACACTATAAGAGTGGAGAAAATGAAAAGGACTCCCCAGGTAGGAATTGGTCACCTCCTGCCTCTTTCAGAATGTTGTCTCTGTCAAGGAGCCTGGAAAGGAGGGGAATGTGGTTGCCTCACCCAAGTCTGACATTCAAGTGGTGCATCTGAGGAGGCAACAAAGATGGCTTATAAAGAGATAATAACATTTTTAACATCTAGCTCTGTATCCAAGTCCTAGTTAGGGTACTATAGAGGGTGCTTATAAACCCATCCCTCAATAAGTGGAAGGCGTCCTGTGCGTGACTGTGAGGGCATTCAACACTTCCTCTCTCTGAGAACACTTGCAAAGCAGCTTGCAGGGCACTAATCTGGCTCACTAAAGGGAGCAAAGGAAAAGTAAAATAAAAGGGGAAGCTTTAGCCTCCTGACACTGATGAAACACCTACCTTTTGTACTTTCTGGAAGCAGAGAGGAGTTGTCATTTTCAATAGAGAGTTAAGCTTGTCTCAGTCCTAGGCTAGGAAGGAATCTCAAATTGACAGATTCAAAACCTGAAAATCTTCAGAGGTCAGAACATTACAATGACTGCTCTTTGAGTTGTCTCCATAGTGCTATGAATACTTCCACTAAAATTGCCTGTATTCACTGCATCTAACCAAGTGTGGTTCTGCATTCAGTTTTTTTGACCCTTGTCCTCTGATCATGCCTCCCCTGCATGCCTGTGTGTCTTTGATGACCTTTACTTCCTATAGCACGCTCTTCTGCTACCAGAAATGGTACTTCCTCCCCAGCGCCTGCTCTTGTCCTCTTGCTCTAGGTGCACTTCATGGCCCTTTTGGTCTCATTGTGCATGTCTCCTGCTTTGAATTCCTTAAAAGAACCTTAATTGATATTAAAAAAAATTAAAACTTGGGGAGGAGGGTGGAGATAGATAATTTACCTAGGGCTGCATATGCAAAAATGAGCACATAATTACTGTTTTTAAGGAAGATGTCAGGAAGCAAGATTGATTTAAATCTGACATCTGTTTACACACAGTGAGCTGTCATTAGATGCATACATAAGGTCAGAAGAGCTATGTTCCGTCGCCATGACAGCTTAGTTTGGTTATGGAAATGTGGCTCCACGTGCTTCTGCGAGGGAGCCGCATAATTCCTTTCCAATGGCTGCTCTCTGTCTGCTAGTCAATCAAGCACCATTTTTTTGTGTGTCTGTTACGTATTCAATACCATCCTAGTACTTGCAGTAAAACAGGCTGTTTGAGGTAATGGGACAGAGTAAGGCAGAAAGTTAAAGGCATGGGCTGTAGAGTCAGTAGTTCTGAATCCTGCCTCTGCTACTTCTGAGTCAGCAAGTCATGTTAGCTGTCTGAACTTACTCTCCTTACTCTTAAAGAAGAAATGATAGTAATGCTATACTCAGGGGACAATTGATTAATTTATCACATGATTCTAGTTATACTGGGTTGTATTTATGGCTTATGGTTTCATACATCTAATAATTTGAAATAGAAACTCTGATGTTCAAGTAGTAAGGAGTTGCACTGCCAATCCAGAGGTCCATGGTTTGAATATACCAGATGTTCCATGGGAGAAAGATGGGAAATTTCTGACTGTATGACTTACAGCCTCTGAAAATCCACTGGAGGGTCAGCAATTAGTTGGTTCTGACTCAGTGATACTTCACAACAATGATTGTTAATAACAAATATTTGTACATTAAATTATATCTATAAATGTATGTGTAATTATTCCAACTCCTATAAACAAGACTGGATTTATACAGATCTTGATAATTAAATACAATCATAATGAAAATAAATTTTTTTAAAAGGTATTCAACTTACTTGCATCAGAACTGACACATGATTGGTTTCTTGGAATGAGACACTATTCTCAGCCAGAGACTACATGTGTTCTCAGAACACTTAATCCAGGATGTAGATGGAGTGGTGATTCAGTAGTAGAATTCTCACCTTTCTAGACAGAGACCAGAGTTCAATTTCCAATTAATGAATCATATTTATGTGAAGCTTCCACCATCTGTCAGTGGAAGCTTATGTGGAAAAAGCATCAGTGCATCTTCAGATGAAAACAGACTAGTAAGAAAGGCCTGGAAATTTTAAAATTAGCCAATGAAATAATATGTTTTACAATGGGGTTGATATTTGACCTACCATAGGGATGTGGAGGATGAGTCCAACTTGATGGCAGCCAACCACAATAGTCTAGGGTCAGAGGAGAGTAGATGATCAGAAAATAGTGACTATTGTTGTTAATATCAGGTCATCTTTCTCCCAAAACATTTAAAATCTTGTCAAGGAAAATCACCTCAGTTAATAAACCATCCTCCACTGCAAGTGGGTAAACCTCAGGCAGTGTAGGAGTATAGATGGGTTTTCAGGGAGGAAACAGAAAGACCTCATGTACCAGAAGAGACACAAGCGGGACCCTTAGTGTTTGCAGCACTACCCATCAGACTTCTACACCCTTCATTTCTACTCTTCCTATAAATTCTTCCTCTTCTTTTCCAGCCTGAGTTTAAACAAGGTCACCTTTAAAGAGGCTCCCCTAACTCTGAGTCAGTCTATGGATTTCTTCTTATTTCAGCACTGGTGGTTTTTTTTTCTTTTTTTAAATTAAATTTTATTAGTTTTAATGAACATTTACAGAGATTTTGGGTTTTCATTCATTCATTGTTGCACTAGCACTGGTTTTATTGTATCTTACTTAACATATTCTTTCTTATTTACCATCTACATCTCGGCAGGTGTCCTTTCTCTTTTCCCTTTCCTAAAGTTTTTATCTTTTACACTCAAAGTTATACATACATGTACTTTCAAAAAAATATGTGTTGTGTTATGTAATATAAACTGTTTCAATATGTTCAAATCCATTACCTTCTCTTCAGAGAAGAGCACTTTCTCTTCTTTCAGATGATAATGTTGACATCACCTTCCCTTTCTCTAAGTATATGTCTCGGGGGCCTCTGTGGGACTTGTCTGATCTGCCCTCAGTACTTCATTTCCCGTATACTCTGTGGAAGCTGAGCCTCACCACTAATCACACGCACACTACCTGTCCCTCCCATTCTTCCAATATAATTAAGCTTTAACTTTGGTTAGAGCAATCTTTAGTGTTTAAATTATTATAACTATGTAGGCACTGCTCACAGCTGAGCCATGAGCATAAACAATCACTTTTCTCCTTTTGCCTGGAAGTAATTATCTTATTTTGTTGTTGATGTTCATGTGGCTTTCTCAAAAAACAACAACAACAAAAACCCACTGCCATCATGGCCACCACATTGGATTTCCAAAGCTGTGAATCTGTGGAAGCTGACTGTCTCAGCTTTCTCAACTGGAGCAGCTGGTGGATTTGAACTGCTGAGTTTTCATTTAGCAGCCCAGCACACAGTGCAAAACACTGCCAAGGTTCCTGTTTTCTGTTTATTCATCACTAATTGAACCTCAGTTTTGGCTCTTTATTTGACTCTCTTCTTGAAATATGTACATATAGGAAGTATGCTTAATTTCATCTTCCTGAAGAAGTTTCTATCATTGATCTGAATATGCAACCTACAGATTCAGACAGGATCCTGTGCTTAGGACTCTGAGCTGGTTTAATGCTCTGGTACTGTAATTTTTAAATTGGTTTTTTTGTTTGTTTTTTTACAAGAGGTTCTATATTTTCATTTTGCAACAAATCTTGCAAGTTACAGCCAGTCTGTCTGCCAAAGTTTTCTGTCTAGCTTCAATCTAGATAGGTCTCTTGGTGTCTCCTTTCATCAAGCTAGAGATTGCCTATGTGTCTCACATCATGGTCCTGCAGAGTGTCTGCACACCTCTTCTGTATTGGATCTCCTATTTTTTTTTAAATTGTTTCTTAAAAACAGGTCTAAAAAAACAGGTCTATGGTTTACTCATTTTTATTTCTTGAGCATAACTCTGTACAAATTAACCTGTTGCCGACAAGTTGTTTCTAAGTCACAGCAACACTAGGAGATAGAGTAGACATGGCCCAGAGGGTTTCCAAGGATGTAAATCTTCACTGAAGTAGACTACTAATTTTTTTTTAATTTAACTTCTTTAATTTTTTAAGAGGGCTCTCCTTAACATGTCTGAATATACAGTTAGAAGATTCCAGGAAGGAATGATTTCAGGTACAATAAAGAAGCTCTATAATTAATGAACATGTGTCACAAGAAATCAGGCTAACTTCTTCTGCTTCATCCTTGGAAATGCTGTATTTTCCACCGCAACGGCATCTCAGCAAAAATGAGTGATCATCTTCATTCCAGGACATTTCTTCAAGATATATCCGAGCACCTACTGGTCCAATATTTCTTAGGTCATCTTCATGCCACTGCAGGTCATACTCTTTTTTTGTCTCTTCATTCCCTAGAATCTTCCATGCCTGATCAATTTCGATGAACTTTTTAAAGCATTCCTCCATTGTTCCTGTTGGCAAATCTACACTTTGTTTGTCTGGATGATACTGTTATGGGGGTTTTGGTGGTGTCGGAAGTTGTGCTGGCGCAAAGTCAGCACCTCTGTCAGTTTGAATCCACCTGTGGTTCCTCAGGAGAAAGATGAGCAACCACCTCCCCTCCCACGTGATTTTCAGTCTCTCAAAAACTTGCTGGAGAGATAGTATTAAAATGAGCTTCTGATATTTTTGTTTTAAGTTGGACACACTTGCAGATGGGCCTGCACCTCGAATGCTGTACCAGTTCTTTTTTGGTATCTGGTCAATAGCCATCATCCACTGAACAGTGGCCTGCTTCCAGATTAGCTCACTTGAGCTCTGCGCCGGAAGTAGACTACTACATTTAACTTCCATGGAGAGACTAATGGATTTTAAAAGCCAAGTAGCTAACTGTTATGTTAGATCATCTCAACATAAACATAAAGGACATATAAACATAAGCATAAGGAACAAAAACATACATACATACATATATATGATTATTTACATATATGTGCATGCATCCATGTATGATGTGTATGTTGTTGTTGTTGTTATGTGCCGTCGAGTCACTTGCAACTCATAGTGACCTTATGTATAACAGCCCTAAACTCTGCTCTGTCCTATGCCAATCGCACTGTCTCCAATGCACACACCTGATTACCCCAGTCACCGAATCAATCCACCTCATAGAGGGTCTTCCCCTCCTGCGCCGTCCCTCCACCCTCTCAAACATGATGTCCCTCTCCAAAGATCGGTCCCTCTTTATATGTCCAAAGTATGCCAGACGAAGCCTCAGAATCCTTGCCTCCAAGGAGCAGCCTGGTTTAACCATCTGCAGGATGAGTCTGTTTATTTTCTTAGCAGTCCATGGTACACTAGATACTGTTCTCCAGCACCACAGCTCAAAGGAATCAATTTTCTTTCTATCCTGACTAGTCATTGTTCAACTCTCTGATGCATAACAAATGATTGCAAAGACCATGGCCTGTATCAGATGCACCTTAGTCTCCAGAGAGACACCATTGCTCTTCAGTACTTGGGAGAGGTCCCTAACAGTAGACTTTCCCATCGCAATACGTCTTTTCATTTCCTGGCTGCTGGTGCCAAGAGTGTTGATTATGGAGCCAAGCAAACTAAAGCTGTGAACAATCTCAATCTCTTCACCATCCATCCTGATGCTGCCAATTGGTCTAGGGGTGAGAATCTTTGTCTTCTTGACATTGAGCCTCAATTCATATTGAAGGCTGCATTCCTTGACCCTCTGCAGCAAGCGCTTCAGGTCCTCCTCAGTTTCAGCAAGCAGGGTTGTGTCATCTGCATAACGCAGATTGTTGATAGATCTTCCACCAATCCTGACCCCACATTTTTCCTCATAGAGCCCAGCCTCCTGGGTAATCTGTTCTGCATTCAGGTTGAAAAGGTATGGAGACAGGACACATCCCTGGTGTACACCCTTCCAATTTTGAACCATGCAGTGTTTCCTTGCTCTGTTCTGATGACTGCCTCTTGTTCCAAGTACAGGTTTCACATTAGTACAATCAAGTGTTCTGGGATTCCCATTCTTCTCAGAGTCAGCCACAGTTTGTTATGATCAAACACCTTCACATAATTGATTGAACACAGATACACATTCCTCTGGTATTCCCTGCTTTCAGCTAAGATCCATCTAACATTAGCTGCAATATCCCTAGTACCACGACCCCTTCTAACCCAAATCTGTGTGCATATTTAACTATGTCAGCATGGTGTTCTGTACAGACCTATATCTCTCTTGATGCTAATCACTAGGAACTGATTCATAGCTGACCCTCCAGTGGAAGGAGATTGCCCATCTTTCTTCTGCAGAGAGGCTGGTAGATTCGAATCGCCAGAGATGATTTGCCTTTGGGTTAGCAGCTCAACTTTCTATAGACTAGGTCACCAGAATCCCCAGAGATGTACCCAGAACCTTCTGGACTCATGATGGTCCTCTATCAGTTTTCTGAGCCTGTAAATTTTTTCTGGAGGAGACTGCCTAGCTCTCTCCCTTGGAATAGCTAGCCAAGTTGAACTGCTGACCTTTCTATTAACATCGCAACATGTAAAGAACTATACTAACAAGGGTCCTTTATATATGCTTTACACAAAGAGAGAAAAGTATGTTCATATGAGCATGTATAGATGTATACAGCCACATCTACAGGTATACCTATGTAACGATTTTTATATAAACCACTGAACTGGAGGGACTTACGTAGTATGAAACTTCAGAGCAGAGGAATAGCTTGATGTGCTTGTGGCGCTCGCACTGTGTTCTCAGTGCATGGGAAGTGGTGAGGAAAGCAGCCTGGCTGTGTCAGAAAAGGGCAGGTTGGAACCAATGGGAAATGATGTTGAAAATTAATGTGGGAGCCAAATTGCAGAGAGGCTTGCATGCCAGACTAGGCATTTTCTGTAGACTTGTAGTTCCCCAAGGACTTATTTCCCCATCTAATGACATCTGATATGTGTAGTTAGAGAAACTCCAGCTGGGTAGAATTTCACACTTTCCTTTTCTTGGCTCTGAAATAGGTGAATAGAGTGGGATGGGTGGGGAGAGAGCCTAGGAAACTGAGAAAAGGGAGCTCATAAGAGAGTGTTTCCTGTGACTTTAAAAACTCAGCCTAGCACAGAAGCAGGAGAAAAGCATTAGAACTCTGGAAAGTAGCCAGGGAAGTCTGGATAGTGCTAAATCAAGGCAGAACAACCCCAGACAGGCAGTTGCATTATCACCAAATTCACACGATTAAAGACCAGCAACCATTAGCACCTCATATGTGCCTATGATCCTTATGGTATGCAGCATCAAGAAAACTGGGCTTGCCCTCTGGAAATTTTCAACACTGTGATGACTGTTTCTGGTAAATCAGAAGATTAGTGGGTTAATGGGACCTCTTGCAATTTGAACCTCAGCCATAGCTTGTGTGATATGGGATTCTTGAGCTTTCTCCACTTCCAAAAAAAAAACATGCCAACATTTTAAGAGAAAAATGTTTACAGGGTTTTGAAGAAAACCTAAGAAACAGATGACAAATACATGTGGATAAATTCTGGATGCAGCATTCATTATAATAACCAATATTCGTAAACAACCCAAAAGGGCATCAATGCATACTGTTGCTAGGAGTCACAGAATCATTGGTGACTCTATGAACAAAAGACCTAATGCCTTTCCATAACTATCGTCATTTCTCCAAGTTTATAGAGTTCCCAGAGGCACGTGGTTTGCAAAGTGGATGCCACTCCTGCTTCCAAACCTATTTTACAACTGGGAGCTCCACCAAACACTGTTCACATTGGGAAACCATCCTGGTATTTGATACCCCAATAGTACAAGGTTCAGCATCAAAGCAAACCCTGGTTACTTCATACAGCAAATTGACAAAGAGTGATGTACAAAGTGGAAGAGTGTTCCTCCAGATATAACAGCACTAGTTTCATTTAGCAGTGGTTAAGTGTTTTCAAGTCGAATACAACTGAGAGTAAGCTTCTCACAAAAGACCTGAACATTTATGGAGTTTAGAGAGTTTCCGGAGACATCTATTTTAGGAAGTGGATGCCACTCCTGCTTCCCAGCATAAATCAATCTGGAAACTCATCCAAACATTGTACATAATGGGTAACCATTATGGTACTTGATAGGACTATGGAACAGTGTGCTGCATGACAGCAACACCAAGTTGTTCAGTTCAGCAAATAAACAAAAGATTGCTGTATCATTTAAGGAATATTTATTTGAAAATCCCTTGGGGCATGCAGGATTTTAAAGCCATACCTATGAGCAGACCTTCACCCTAGGCAAAGGCTCAAGGACACATGCTCTTGAGGGGGGAAAAGCAGTAATACACATCAAACACGACCCCAAAAATTTACCTTATGTGACCAACAGGACTGCCATCAAGATACTAGCTAGCAGCTAAATCCCAGAGTGGAGGCTCCAGGCCCCAGCCTGCAGTCCCATCCCCTCATGCTATGGGATTTTAAAGCCACACCTTTGAGCAGACCTCCACCGTAGGCAAAGGCTCAAGACACATGCTCTTGAGGGAAAAAGAGCAGTAATACACATCAAACACAACCCCAAAACATCCCTTACATGATCGACAGGACTGCCATCAAGATACTAGAAAAGTATATGTTATAATCAGGCAAATAGCAGAAAAAATAAATCATGGCAGACACATTTGTTGAACCAGAGGTAAGGCTAGTGGTTCTCTTGGGGATAGTGACTGGAAGGTTTTCTGTGGAACAGCTCCAGGAATGCTGCTACTGTGCTGTGCTTTGATTTTGGTACCTGTAATGTTGGTGTGTGCATTTTTCAAGAATTCATTTTAAACAAAAATAAAAAAAAGAAGAAAACAAAGACAGATAAAGTTAAATGTTGGCAAAAGATATACTTTAAAATACTAAGGATGGGAAAGCTATTAATAAAGTAAACTTCCAGGTAAGAGTAAAATCAGAGATGAGGAAGGACATGTAATGAAGGTTTAGTTTTGCAAAGAGAAGTAATAATCCTACTTAAATTTATACCAAGTTGCATTACTTCAGAATACATGAAACAAAATAGAAAAAAAATGTAGATAAAGCTGTAGTTGGAAATTGCAGCACTTCTTTCTCAGTAATTGCAACAAGTAGATTTGTAAAATATAAACAATATGAACAACACAGATGTTGACGTATCTGATCTAATTGATTTTAAAAGAGACCAAACCCAACAATTGCAGAATATACTATTCCCCCCTAAATGTTCATATGGAATCTTTAAAAAAATATGGACACAATGATTATAAAACAACTCAAAACCCAAGCTGATCATAAAATTTGTCTCACTAAGTTTCTAAAGCATGCAATCTTAAGAAGAATGTTTTATGACCAAATGATAATAAATAAGACTCCAGTAACAATGAAATCTATAAATTCTTCAGATATTTGGAAAGCAAAGATTTCAAACTAAACTATGAATCAAATAAGAAATTATAAGAAGAATAATTTAAACAAAATTATAAAACTACAACATATTAAAATTTTCTAAATGTAGCTAAAGTTATTATTATGGGAAGCTTATAGCCGTAAGTGCTTATATAAGTTTAAAAAAGTTTTACACTCACAATAAAACATAAAATAAGTAGAGGGATATAATATATATAAGAACAGAAATCAACGATACAGAAAGCAGACAAATAGTGAAAATTAACCAAATCAAAAGTTGATTTTATGAGGGTAAGTACATGTTGTAATTGCCTTGGTGGCACCTAATACCATCAATACTAAAGGATAGG